TTAGAAGCTGCGAGCTGGCAATTAAAAGACTTATAGGCAAAATTAATTGATTTAATTGGCGTGCGTCGATTCGTGGAACGAAAAAAAACCTATTGTTGCGGAGATCCTCTTCTCGTTGGCACTCCACTAGAAAAGGAAATTGTGCGGCCTTATATGCAAATTGCGCGGCACCAATCGAATAAGAAATGGCTGAGAAATCGTAAAGCAAATTGCATCTTTGCAGGGCCTTTGCAGGGCTTTGCTGCTGTTTTTTCCAAGAAATGAATGCGGAGTAGCAGTGTAATTGCGGCTGTGGGTTCTGATCAAACTCACGCTCGAGTTTCTACCGTTCGTGTATCCGACTGACAACGATCGAGTCCGTTAAAGCTCCACTCTTGTCCAATTGCCCTTTTCTGTGTTTTTTACAATGCACCGAATACATGTTCCAAAGCAGTCGGCGAAACAATCGCTTCAAAAATTGCAACTTTTGCCGGAGGAGTCTCTGCTATTCTCGCAAGAGGATTGGAAAAGAAGACACTCTCTTCTTCTCGCAAAACTCTGCCGACGATTAAAAAAAAATTGAGTTGAGTCAGGCATGCGTACAATTTGACCAAGTTACAAATATAGAACGCGAGCGGCAATAATAAATCACAAGACGTGAATTGACGTTCCCCCTACACAAATACACACACATAATGGCCGCACGGAAAAGTCAATTAATCGATGATAAAGCCCTGACAAAAGAGCCCGATGACGCGCGCACGCGCGGGCACGCGCGTCGTCGTATAAACTAAGCAAATCCGTGCAATGAACAAATTGATTCGACGAGAGAAAAACCTGTGCGATTCGCGCGAAGGCTGAACTAATCCTCGCCAATGAAATGCTTCATTGGACTTATGCAACGACCAGTCCTGCGGCTTACGCGCAGCGCGCCGCACAATTGCCATTTGGATCCTCCGCGAGCGAAGATGATTTGTCGAGGAAGCCCGAGGTGAACAATCGCCGTGGAGCATAACTGTTTTTCCGCAGCGTCAGAGCGAATACGCGCGAGCGTGCCGCGGGCATTGTTGTGTCAGCGCGGATGCGCTTGCTGCATTTGCATGGAAGCCAGCAGCTCGACCGCTCGACGTTGCCGCTTGTCGAGCATATTTCAATAGTCACTGACGATTTGCCGTCCGCGTTTCTACGCCCAGCCATCGCTCGTCCGCGCTCAATCGTAAGGCTCGACTGACTTGACGGAATGACCAATCGAATCAAGCGCACGCCCGATTATGCAGCGCGTCGGAAAAGAATCGATGATTTCTCGATCAGTTAGGCGCGTAATAGAGACGGAAGACCAGTCGGATTATCCACGGTTTCGTGTCTAACGAAACAGAAAATACACTCGACAGTCGTAGGAAACCGCAGGCCAAAAAAACGGAGCTCGTGGACTATCGCAAGAAAGCTCTACTACCGAGGAGAGAAGAAACGGCGAAGGCGACGTGGAAAACCAACAGCGAGATCCGCGCGGTGACGCAGAGCCGAGGAACGGGAGCCTAATGGCTTCTATCCCATATTCTAAACAGCCTTCCGCCTCGCCTACGGAACTTGTCCGATCTGTTCTTCGGATTCATCACCGCGCGGCTTTTCTTTCCGCCGATCGATTTTTCTATATATAAGCGATGCAATCGTGACGCCGGAGAAATGCCTAATGGTCTTTTTTTTTCAAGCGCGAGATGTGTTTCCAGTGTTAACGTATTTATTAGCTCGGGCTCGAGAGAGCCGCGGTGATGACGTATTTACTCTCTTATTCGCTCCACTTTTTTCTTCCCTTTTGCCGCGTTTCTATCGATGCATGCGGCGCGAACGGAATTATTGATCTTGGGCTTTTGTTCAAGTCCGAGACACGTAAAAATACAGTTCGCAAGCAGCGGATATCCGACCGGCTAATCTTATCGAATTTCCAAGGGAAGCTCCCGATAAAATGTGACGCATGAAATTGGCCGCCGCCAAATCCAGTCGGACTCCCGAAGAAGACGTGCAGCGGCTTGTCAATATCTTAGTCTTCCCTCGATCGCCTCTCGGCATCCGAAAAGATCGACGCGCGTCTCTATCGAGCGCGCCGCGCACTCCGTCGCGGTGCAGTGTTGCCGGCGAAAAAAAAGAAGGCCCGGAAATTTTTTTTGCTCGGATCGAGTGTCGGCGCACACGGGCGCATGCAGCTGGATCGAGGCGTGCAGGCTTGGCGCGCAGCAGAGCAGCAGCCGGCGCCACAGCGTGTGCGCGCGCGCGCGTGTGTACAGCGGACCGCAAGAAAAATTCGTCTGAATTATCGCTGCGGTTCGGCTACCGCTTGCGCGAGAGCGAGCGAGTGGCAGTAGTCGCGTGTAACCCGACGAAAATGATAATTCGATGCGCGCTGAATCATAATTTCGCGGCCTGTACGTATACGAGCAGCCCTCGTTCCGTAAGGATTTATCGCGCGGGCACTACGCACCCCGCTGATTTTTCATCGGCTCGCATTTGTGTTTTTCGCATTCGGTAATTAGTTGCAGCTACAACGCCGCCCGATTCGAACAACAGCTGGCGCGCGCTGCTCGATCGTGCTGCTTAAATCGGAGCCTGATTTACAAATGCCGATGCTCTCTTTACGAGAGCCGATGCCTCTGCAAACGCGCGCGACGTTCGCGTCGAGGCGAGCTGACGGAGCGTTGGCTACTCAACGTGCGACTCGCCGTCCGTCTATCGGAACAACGCGTTCGCGAGCTACACAAGAGAGTGCAGTACTTGTACGCGATGCGCGAAACTCGGACTTTCCCTTGCGGCAAGCGATCGAGCAAGAGAGCCAGAGATTCGGGAAGTCTGCCCTGTTCTGCGGCGCTGACCGCGGCATCGCGTGTCGTGGTGCGGTACACAGCCAGCCAGCCAGCCTCTTCATCATCGGCGTCCGGTGTTGTTCATCGACCGATAGCCGCTGCCGCGGTCGCTGATTATCGCGCGCCGAAGCGCCGCCGCGCTGCTTTTCTTCCGTCTCATTGTCCTTTTTCCCCGCTCGCGTCCAGCAAATTTCGTAGAAACGCCGACGGCCTTTTCTTTTTCCCCATTATTTTAATGAAAATTTATGGCCCTTTATGGATAATTTATGCGAGATCGATTCGCCGCTCGAAGATAGCAGCGCAAGCTTTTTAAGCATTTATTTATGCGCGACGCTCGCATAGCTTTTGTCACTTATACTCGCGGTGAAAAAAAAAGCAAAAAAAAAAGAGAAGCGGAGTCGGCAGCTAATTATTCGTTGTCGAACGCAACGCGTTTCCTCGGAGGAAAATTTTCGATGAATAATTAACCGCGCGAGCGCGGCTAGCTGTTATCGGCGGGCCTTGTCGCGCGGAGCTAGTAAAGTCAACTGTTATTTAGCCACGCGCCGCGTCGACTAATTTTCGCAAAATTACGCTTCTCGCGCGCAGTTTACGTGCAGTTGTTTACAAAATTTTCAGCGCGAGAACTAAAATCGCGCGACAACCACCGTTACAGCACGCTATTTTATAATTCTTAAAGAGAAGGTAATCGGTACAAAAGAAGCGAGATAATCTACATAAGTAGGAGCGACAGTTGCCGAGCTGTCAAATCAGCTAAACATAAAAAGAGGAGTTTTCGCCGGCAAAGTACAGTGGTCGGCGGACTGAGAGACGGCGAGGCACGCGCAGGTGTGAGATACTGCTGCGAGCCACTTGATCCCCGCGAAGCGACTTCTGAAAACTTATGGTCAACCGCACGACACTCAAAAGCTCTGCACCATGAGTCGGGAGAAAGGAAGACGTCAAAGACGCACGAAAGATCGACGCTCGAATCGTTAGTGGCTGCTCAAAAGGAAAATCACATTGTGCTGCGTGGCGTCGGAGCTCGCGCCGTCGGATCTCTCCCCTCGCAGCAGAGCCATGTACAGGGAGAGAGAGAGAGAGAGAGAGAGAGAGAGAGAGTGCGAGAGAGCGAGAAAGAGAGAGAGAGAGCGAGAGCGAGAGAGAGAGCGAGAGAGAGAGAGAGAGAGAGCCAGAGCGAGAGAGGAGTTGGATAGCATTCCGTTTGGCGCGTGGGCGGGCAATTCGGCGTGGGGACGATTCCATTCATTCGGAGAAACAGCCGTGAAAGGGACACCTGTTGTTTGCGCGCGCCGCACGCGCAATCGTAGAAATCCCGCACGTGCCCTCCCTACCTCGCTCTCGCTCGCCGGTGAAAGGAGTATCGCGCACGCACGCACGCCAGCTTGTCACTTCGGCGCGGCGCTGCGCTTACGAGCGGGCCGACGCGGCCTCGCGACCCCTCGGTCGGCTCCCGGGCGCCCGGGCGTCCGTGGCGCCGTTCCCACGGGTCGCGCCTGCCGACGCGCGGACCCGCTACCCGGGCGCCGCTCCACATTGTTCCGTCCGCGGTCGCGAGCGATACGTGGACGCGAGCACGTCGTCGAAAAGTGCTCGGCGCATTCGCGAGGCTCGTGACGGCCAGAGGGCTCCGTCCCGCTGCCGCGTACGGAGCGGCGCAGTTTCGCACGGCTGCACAGTCACGATGGAGAAGGTTGCCGTCCCGAGTCGCGCGCGACCCACGGAAAATAGGCGGCGCATCGATGACGCGCGCGTAGAAAGCAACGATCGCTTATCGTAGCGTCGTTACGCGAGCAACAATCCGCTCTGCGTGCACTCGCCAGGGTTTCCTTTTTTAATTAATCGCGCTCCAAGGAGAAATTTTCCATGCACGGCGAGCGCCGCTGTGTGATTTCTCCCGCGAGATACATCGACGACGCAGAGAGATGCATAGTCGAGTGACTCTTCTATTTTTGCCAGCTCTCCTGTCTCCCTCTAGGCTCTCTTTTTTCCTTTTTTCTACTCGGCTGCTTTCTACGCGCGGCCATATAGCCGAGAGCGTCCGCATGTGGGTCACGTCGAGCGCTGGCTGGCGTCAGGACCGACGAGGCGGTTTCGGATGCTCGCGGTGGCGCGCGTTCGCAAGGGCCGCCCAGCGGAGACCAACGAAAATCGCACTCGTCTTACCTGGCGGTGGTGCAGTCCCTGTAGAGTATGTCGAAGTCCTTGCAGCTGAGCAGCTTGCATCTGTTGACGCCCGGCTGGATGGCGCCGAGTCCGCGCAGAATCCGGACCTGCTCGACGTTGCAGACCAGCGGCACGATGTCGAGCCTCTTCAACTTGGTGTAGACGGTGTGCAGGCCGCCGACGAGATGCTTGAGGAACAGCTCGAAGGCCTGCGGCAAGCAGAGCATCGTGTCGCCGCTGATGATGAAGGCGGCGACCTTGTGCCCGCGGTACTCGACGAGCTTGCACTCGTTGGCCGTGGGATCGCTGGTGCTTATGGGCGGCGGACTGCTGTAGTTCCGCGGGGGCATGACCGCGTGGTGCGCGGCCATCAGTTCGAGCGGCGAGCCGTGGTGGGCGCCCAGCATGCCGCCCAGCTGACCGAGCAGCCCGAGCCCGGGCGGCGGCAAGCCGGGCATCCGCGGCACCATGCCGGCCGGCGCGCCGCCGCCGCCCAGCGGGGGCGGCGACAGGGCCAGCGACTGCGGCGGCGAGCCGCGACTCGGCGAGCCGGGCGTCGGCCGGTGGCCCAGCGACGGGTGCGTCTGCGGCGAGCTGCTCGGGTGCTTGGGGCTCGCGCCGCCGCCGCCGCCGCCCGCGCCGCCGCCGCCGGGACTCGCGCGGCTGCTGTGCTCCGACGAGCTGTCGTGCATCGCTCCGTGATCCATGGCCTGGCGCTGTAGCTGTAGCTGCTGCTGCGGCTCTCCCGAGTGAAGCTGCTGCTGCTGCTGCTGCTGCTGGGCCCTGAACCACGGGTAGAGCTTGGTGAGAGGGTGAATTTTCGAGGCTTTCGGGGACACACTTTGAAGAAGAACGGGAGTACTCGCGGAGGCTGTCGACTGGCCAGTTCACTCGCGGCTCATTGTCTCGGCGCGCACATCCTCAGCGACTGTCTGCTCTCTGCGATAGTCCCGTCGTCGCCGGCGCTCCTCGCCGGGCCGAGTCACTGCCGCCGTACACACTGTCATTCGCGCACTGGCGGGTCCGCCTCGCGCGCGTCCGGCACTCGAGCGGGGTTGCGCGCGGACGGGACGCGGACGGGACGCGGACGGGACGCAGACGGCACGCAGACGGCACGCAGACGGCACGCAGGCGGCCGAACGGAAAGCGCGGCTAACGCGGCGGATGTGCTGAGTGAGCGCGTGCGAGCGATCGCGCCGGCCTGCTCTCTGCAGTGCTCTCGGTATCTGTGCCTCGGCCGTCTCGCGGAGCGAGCGAGCGCGCGTCGCAGCCTTCTCTCTCTCTCGCGCGCGCGCCGCTGTGCGCAAACGCGGCGGGCCGAGGCCGCGCGCGCGCCGCGCAGCCGCGCGAGCGCTGCGCGCGGCCCCGCCGGGAAGCGAATCGCCGGCGGGCGCCGGCGGGGACGCTCCGCGCCGGGGCGGGGCCGCGGCCGCCCATTGGCCGCGCGCCGCCCGGCCGCCCGCGGGCCGGACACGCCCGGCGGCCGCGCGCCGCCAATGCGCCGCGCGCGGCCCGCGCAGGCGCCGGTGGTGGGGCCGCGAGTCCTCTCTCCGCGCCGCCGCCGCGCAGGTAGCCTCCCTCTCGCTTTTGTCTCTGGCGAGCTGTCTCCGGCGCCGCGGACTCGAATCGATCGAGCCGCCTCGCGGCGCGGCTGCCGTCTTCTCCCCCGGCGGGCTCGCGATGCGCGACGCGATTCTCTCTCTCTCTCCGGCCTCGCCGCCGCGCTGCATTATCTCGCGCGCGCCCGACGGAACGCGGCCCGCGGAGGCGCGGATGCTAATATCTGGCCGACGCCGGCTGCCGTTCGCGGCTCCCGAGGCGCCGAGCGCGCCCGGACTCGTCTGGGTGCAGTCGAGTTTTCCCGATGTCTTGGACGCGCACCGCCGGCCCCCGGCCTCCTTCCGCCGATAGCGCCACTCGCGACCGCGCTCCTTTCTCCTGCCCACTCTCGATCAGCTCCGAACGGCCAGATGTTCCTCTTCGTTTTTTATGTCTTGCAGTAGCTGCTCGAGTAATTAGGCCTGGCGCTGCGCTGCGCTGAGATCGATTAATATCCGAAACGAGCCTGTACACAATGAAACCAAGGGACTGCGTGTAGGCAAGCCATATGTCGATCGAAGATGGATTGCGGCCAACCGCTTCGAGATAGTCCTCTCTGATCGTGCCTCGACATCGCTATACAGAGCGAATCATCAAAAGGAGTCAGCTGAGTGATGAGCTGCCCACGTAACCATTTATAGCCGTATAAAAGCATTTTTCATTTGTGTGGCAATTTGTCGAGAAAATAACGATGTCGAATTAATCAAATCTTTAATCAAGCTGTACGCTGGTAAATTGAGCTCTCCTCGCGCGGATGTTAATGTGTTGTTATAACGCTGTACTTGAATTACAACAAGATATTCTTCGTAAGAGACGCACGAGCATTCCAAAGTGGCCATGTACAAACGGTCGTAGGATTATCAGTATCCTATAAATGATAAAAATTCGATGAATTACTATTTTCAGTAGTAATGGCTTTGCTTCGGTCAGGCATGAAGTGACATTAGCTGTTTTCCTTTCTCACGGTCTTATACCATTACCATTGTATAGGTAATGAGATGTTCTATTGATTCGCGTATTCAATCAAATCTATTAAAAAAGAAGTGATTCAAGCATATTATAAACACAAAAGGAAGCGAAGACATTGAAAATGTATGTATTTTCCGAAGCATGAAATGTTTTCTAGAGTCGTCACGAAATAAAACCAAGGGCGATAGCAGAGTTGTCGAGAGTTGAAGGGGTCGTCGGACCCTCGGACCGATTATCTCGTCATAGACGTTGATCGTAGATGGGCAAAGGAGCCGCAAAGTGCGCTACTAGCGATGCCGAACAAGGAAAGAGGGAGGAAGAGAGGGGGGGGGGCAAGGCGAGCGGGCGAGGTAAAAAAGAGAGACAGTGAGAAAGAGAGAGAGAGAGAGAGAGAGGCAGTTCCCCACAGCCAATGTCCGGTCAACCCCTCATCGGGTGCGTCGTGCCCTCATCGGCCCCGTGACCCAGATTTGCGGGCACAGCCTGCAAAGTGTGTGCGTCCACGTTTAGGGAACGCGTCGATATATATGTACGTCAGCCCTCCTCGAAAGGTGGCAAACGCTCGTAGCGTTTTCGTGTATATAATGCCCGATCAGCTGTTACGTAGCTTGACCTCGTGCAATTTCACCTAGCCTTCTCTCTTCACTGACGATCCAAGCCGGCGTGCAGGATGGCGTCGATGAAAAAAAAACGAAAGTTCGCCCGACCTAGAAATATTTTTCGTTATCATGTCAAGTGCACGATAAAAATACGGAAAAAAAATTTATTAATTTTCATTTGGAATGCGAAACATGTATTATTTTGCAAAGACGCCTGTAATATTCATTTTGATTCGAGTTTCCAAAAATTTAGCACTGACTCGTAAAGATTAGCACTACAAGTTCCGCGTTCGGCAAGTAGGTGGCATTTTAGAAAACGGGAGCATATCGATCAGTTGGAAGGTTTTCACGCACGTATTACACGTATATAATGCTATAGACATGGAAGTAAATTTCTCAAGTCGGACTCGAAAGCTTGTACGTTCGGCTGATATATACGTCAATCCATCACTCGAACGGCTTTTTACCCTCCGAAAAGGATTTTCTGGTTCACGCGCGTACCAAAATCTCTTTCTGCGCGACTTTTCACCGAGAAGCCTAATCGTCCATGGACGCCAGCCTGCTTGCGCATTTTCTGCATTCGCGAATGTATCTTTCGCAATCGGAAGTAATGGAAAGCTAATTGCGAAAGAGCGCCGAGAAATGAAGAGACGTAAAACGCAGCATTGAAGCGTACGGCGGGCACGCCGTTGAACATCGATAGGTATACGCGTTGTAAACACAGAGCCGAGCAAAAATGGAGAGCGTGTAAACGAGTGCATGCCAGGCAGGCGGCGTCCGCAGGTCATTCCAGAGGGTGCGAGGAAGAGAAAAAAAACGTTCGCAAGAGCGTATCGGCTTTGCTCGCTCGGGATATATAAATTGCGGGAGCTCGCGGTTTTTCAGCGTAACGCGCACCTAATTACCGATACGCCACGTGTTATTATAAATAGCCAATCGTTATGTGCCGAGAGAGAGAGAGAGACAGAGAGAGAGAGAGAACGGGGCGCGGCGGCGGTTGTGTCCATAATGGCGTGTTATCGGATAAATAAAACAGATAGCGAATACACGCACACACACACACACTTGGATGGGAGTGCGGACTCGATTACGCGCGTTGACACCCCCTCGATCGCAAGCTTCACGCATGTATGTGTATTCGAGTTTCTCTCTCGCATACATAAAAGAGTGCATTGCAAGAAGCTTCGTTGCAGATACTGATTCCAGCTCATTCACAGTACGTGTACTCTTTTTTTTTGCTAGATGAAATATTACATTCTTTCGCTTTAAACAAAATTCGTGCACGCATAAGAAGGAAAAATGCGTTGAGATATTTTTGTGAAAAATTTATTGCTCGTAAAATATTTGTATACAATATGAAAATTTGTTGCATCGGTTGTTCCCCGCGCTCAGTCGACGTAAAAGCACCAATGGTGATTTCTTTTTATTGCACTTTCGCGGCTACATTATTTCGAAAACAATAACGCGTTAAAAGTAATTGGCAAACGCTGCGAAAAAAGTTATCGTACTGATTTTTTGTGCGGGCTTAAAGCAGGGAACAATATAAATGACACTTTTTCGTAGCTATTGTGGGAAAAAACGTTAGAAAGTTTTTGACACATTTTCATTTTGGTCCCTTGTCTTTGCGTAAATTTTGAAAAGTATTAAAAAATGTGTTAAATGACACACAGAATACAAAGATTGTTCGAGATTCTAGTTTTGTCTCTGGTGGTCGTATGAGTTATTCACGGCACATTTGTACCATGACTTTCGCATGAAATGAGCATCGCGTAGGAAAGATTTTGAGAATCACTAGTATTTTATTCCATTGTTGTGCGATAAATATTTATGAAGAATAAAAGAGGCCCACGCGAGACATTATTCACGATGCATTGAGGCGAGCATAAGCCGAGTGCACTAGCGAGTATTATCTACGATATAGAATCCTAGCCTATTTACGCATATTAGCGCACGAATGCACTTGCAAGCTTTCCTTTAAGCGCGTAAATGCGTGTTGACTAAGCTTCACAGATCGGCTGGTATAATATGCGAGGCAGGCGCGCACGACGCGTAATATCGGCGCAGCATTTGGCTTTGCAAACGAACGTTATTGTCGCGAAAGGACGAGCGAGCGACGGGAGGATATCGAGGAGCACTGCTTGGTCGTGGGTGGGGCACGCCCGTGCGAACAGCAGCTCTCGCATTCGCCACGTAGGAAGTCACGCGACTACGACGACGACGACGACGAGGCTCGCAGCAGCGAAGGCTTTGATCCTCCAGGCGTGAAGATTCGTTCAAAGTGTGGACGTGCGAGCCGACGATTTTGCTGTGTTATGCCCACTGCCAAGTCGGTCTTTCCGCCTGCACGGCGCGACGCAAGGCCTAACGCATCGCGTGCCAACTGGAGAGAGAAATGTGGAGCGAGAGAGCACGTGCGTGCCGGCGCTGGCGCGCCGCTCGTCAAAGCTCCGCAATGCGCGCAACGCGCGTCGTCGCGTTATTTTTATAACGACGCGCGCGCGGCGGCGGGCGGCGTCGCGGCGTCCGAGTGACTGACGAGCGATGAGGAACGGGCGCTGTCTCCTTATTCCTACGTCATTACCCTATCGGCCGACTCGATCGGCTCGCCATTACTCACGATCGTATGCACGGCCGAGTCGACGGGGCTATCGTTCGCGGACAAAAAGCCCCGCAGATACATCATGATTAGAAAACCCATAGGGTCGATTAGCCGCCTCGCGCGCGCTGTTTCTCGGTGCGAGCGCGAGGCAAGACCGACAGTCCAAGTGACAGAAGAGCAGCCATGAGGGATGGCGAAACGAAGAGCGCCATGCAAATCTTCGGCGCTAAAGAGGGGCAGAGGGGGAGCCGAGCGCCGAGAGAAAGGCCGAAAAAAAAAGGATTACAGCCGCGTCAGCGCCGATGACGGAGCGCCCGGTAATCGTCGGCCGAGAGAGCGCCGCCGCCGGCTCTAATATTCCGAATAGTTCGCATTTACAATGGGCTTTTATTGGTGGGAAAGCCGAGGGCGATTTTCAGCGGCGGCGCGCGGGCTAAATAGCACATCCATC